AGAGGATGCCTCACATGGAGGGTGAAGAAAAAGGTCTTAAAGGAGCCCTTTAAGGCCCCTTTTAGTGCCAGCAGGTGCCCAGAAGGGCCACTGTGGGGCCCTGCTCTTCATCCTCCACGTAGGTCACCCCCAAGTAACCCCAGTACCACCCGCCCGATGTTTCAGCACCAGTGCAGCAGCGAGCAATGGCCCAGCCTGAAATTGATCCTGGACCAACTGTGCCGGCGGCAGCTCGCATTTGGAGCCGTTCATGGCCCATCGAACCATTACAACCGATGCCAGCGACGATGCGGTCGACATGAGCTTGTTTGCTCAACAAGGCTCGAGTGGTTCTCTCTCGCGCAGCCAATTCAGCCGAGTATCACGCGGGCCTGCCAGCATGTACCAGACCAGACGCCGGGTCTGCCAACAGGGTGTCGGACCCAGTCTGTCCCACGTGCCCCACGAAGGAGAGGCGGAAACGGCAAATGTGCTCTCAGAGCAGACGCTGGTCGTTGCCAAACAGCGGAGTTGCTGGAGCAATTCGAAGGGAAAGCCAGCGACCAACGTTCTGCCAGCTCAGGTGACGCGCCCTCAACCACACTCACATTCATAGACGTCCGCAGTTGCGTGCTCTTCCCCTGGTCCCTACCATAGCGCGCAAGGGCACGGATTTTTTGGGGGGACGAGTTGCCGCTAGGCGTGCAGCTGCGGGTGCTGTACAAGTCGTTCCAGCTTATGTATAGCGCCGTGCCACAGACGTACCCGATGGTTGGGAAAACAATGGCGGCATGCAGAAAACGTCACCGTTGCGACGGTGGCAGGACCATTGCGAGCGGTGCAGAATATCAATTCGATGCGCTGATGTGGGAAGTCCCAGCGCACCAAAACTTGAAGATGTAAATCCTCGAGGCGTGCTGCATTCTTTTTCCCGGAAAGGGCTCGGGCCCAGGGTTCTCTTTTAGTTGGTTTACCCCCGGTTTTGACTTGAAGGAGGCTGGCGGATTTCCGCTTGATGAAACACGAGGTAAAGTCGAATTCGGCGTGACACAAATGCATTTCGCGCGTGCCCGCTCGAGGACAGTTGACCCCACACCTCGAATCCTCGATAAATAACTAAGTCCGCGCACCACCGTTTTCCGTTGTGAAAAAGGGGTGCGGGCCGTTTTTAGCAGAATCCAAAAAACTAGGTCTGGAGCCCCGACTTCGACGCGGAAAAGCGTCCCGCGCGCAGGAATTCCGAGGATGTCTCAAGCGTGCCGCGTCCCGCGCGCAGGAATCTCGAGGACGCCTCGACTAATTCATTTGCTTTGTCCAGGATTTCCTCGGCCACGAGCGTGAGCATGTTGAGTTTTTGCGTGCCCGCTCGAGGATGGTGCGGCCCGCCGCGCCAAAACATCGAGGATGTCTCGAGCGAAACGCTTGTTTTGCAAAACTTGGGGGGGCCTGGGCGCCCCAGCAGGCCCCAGGAGGCCCTGGGAGTGCGGACGCTGCGTAATCTACGAGGGATCGTGGCGTTTGGAGCGCAGACCACGCGTAATTTGCAAGGGATCGTGGCCCTCGGAGCGCGGGCGCAGCGTAATTTACGAGGGGTCGGGGCCTTGGGAGCTCGGACGCAATATACTTTACAAGGGATCGTAGCCCTGGGAGCGCGGACGCAGCGTAATTTACAAGAGGTCGGGGCCCTGGGAGCGCGACCCCGACGTGATTTACGAGGGATCGTGGCCCTGGGAGCGCGGACGCAGCGTAATTTACAAGAGGTCGGGGCCCTGGGAGCGCGACCCCAACGTGATTCACAAGGGATCGTGGCCCTGGGAGCGCGGACACAGCGTAATTTACAAGGTGTCGGGGCCCTGGGAGCGCGTCCCGTGGCACGTCCATTGGCACGTTCCGTAGCGCGTCTTTTCGGCACGTCCAGCGGTGCGTCCCCGTGGCACGTCCCCTGGCACGTCCCCTTGGCATGTCGCCTGGCGCGTCCCTTGGGACGTTTCGCGGCGCGTCCTCCTGGCATGTCCCCTTGTCAATTAGCTGTGGGGTAGCTACTATGTGCTGAGGCAGCTCGAGCTTAAGATCCAGATCAGTTCGGTCAGGACTCGGATGCAAAGGAGGACTCGATCCACAACGCTATAGAGCACAATCGCGGCATGGCACATCGCAATTCAGCACGGCGCTGCACAGCACAGCCTTCGGCACGGTACATCAAGATCGATACATTCAGCATTGCGTTTGCCCGTCGCCCAATCAGGTGTCTTTGAAGCGTTGGCATACCTTACATGTATATATTCCTTTCCGGGTTCGTGGTTCGATCATGTTTGCAGTTGAGGAGCGACAAGCATGTGGCCAGTGCCAGTTCTTTGCAGGCCAGCGCGGGAATGCAACGGTAGGGTGAGTTTGAAGGAGGAGGAGGAGGAGCAGGAGGAGGAGGAAGGGGGAGGGAGTGGCACGACTAGGGAGGAGTACGAGGAGGAGGACAGATGACACAGGGCTGAGGACGGGCAAAGGAGACGGAGCAACGGGGGATCGGCGAGGGGAGGGGGAGGATGGCTCCACATGCCCCACCTGCCTCGCTCCCCATTCCTCCTCCCCTCTGTTCTCCCCTCGTCTACGTCCTCGTCCCCCTCCCTCATTCCTCCTCACCTCTGTTCTCCCCTCGTCTACGTCCTCGTCCCCCCCATCATTCCTCCTACTTGTCACTCCTCTCTTGCCCCCCTGCCCTTCAGGACCCTGCTTGATCCGATCCGATACCGATCTCGTTCGGCTCGATCCGACTCGATGTCGGGCGATCCGATGCAGACCGATGCTGGCATGGGCGTGTGTGAATCCCGGCGCGGCCGATTCGTCTCGATCGGTTCCATGTCGATGAGGCCCGTTGTGATTCGATGTTCCATGTCGAGCGTGTCCATGTTGATTCGATTCGTTTTCCAAATTCGATGTTGATTGACGTTTCTTTCTTCCTCCTCATCCTCCTCCGCCTTGCACTACTCTTCTCTACCCCCATCCCCTTCTTCGGCCGCTCTCCTCTGCATCGTCCCCGCCTCAGGCGTTATCACCAACTTGGGCTATCTGCTCGTGTTCGGCTTGCAGCTGCTTCTGGGCGGGGCGCGGGGATGAGGGAAGGATGGTGCGGTCGGCGAGGATTGGGACGACTGGAATGGGTACGGAAAGAATTGGTACAAAGACCGACAGCACTCTTTGCCCAGTCTGATCAGGGTTCGTTGTCAGTACCGCCGCGGACGTGGTGCATTTGAGATAGGATGCCGCCTGCCCATCAGCGACCGCTGTCGAGGTTGGACAGCATGTGTTGTGAGGCAACATACGCACTTATTCCGTACTCATTTCGGGCGTCCCCAAAAAGGACGAGGAGGAGGAGGAGGAGCAGCAGCAGCAGCAGCAGCAGCAGCAGCAACAGCAGCAGCAGCAGGCGCAGGAGGAGTGAGGAGTGAGGAGGACTGAGGAGGAGTGGGGAGGAGTGAGGAGGAGTGAGGAGGAGTGAGGAGGAGTGAGGAGGAGTGAGGAGGAGAGGGAGGAGGAGGAGGAGGAGGAGGAGGAGGAGGATGTGGAGGGGGGGGCGCAGGAGCAGTGAGGAGGAGGAGGAGGAGGAGGAGGAGGAGCAGCAGCAGCAGGAGCAGTGAGGAGGAGGAGTGAGGAGTCAGGAGTGAGGAGAGAGGAGCGAGGAGTGATGTGCGAGGTGTGAGGAATGTGGATTTACGAGGAGGAGCAGGGGGAGGAGGAGGAGGAGGAGGAGTACGAGGAGGACCAGTGCAAACCGAAGAGTCATCAACGATGCTGGAATCCACCCTCCCCCCAAGTTCCCTATTCACTGGCCTCTACAACGGTTCATTTCCACTGAGGGAATCAACTGCCTCGTTGGAAGGTAACCGTTTTCGGGATTCCAACGCCACGGATCAACCTGACTGAGGCGCTTTGACGAGCTTGAATCGTGCCAGAACGCCATTCTTGCAACTTTTGCACCCTCATAATCCTGAACCAGGCCAGAACACCGACCATGGGAATCCGTGACATTCTTGCAGATCTTCAGGGCGACTGAGCGCGGCGCTACGGCGAGAACCACATGTTGAAAAGGAACCGCCCTCAATCCGTGCACCTCCTGCAAAATCTTAAAACGAGTGAGCGCGGCGCTGAGGCGAGAGCCACATTTTGAAAAGGAACCAAACAATCCGTGCAATGTCTGTAAACTCTTAAAACGAATGTGCGCGGCGCTAAGGCGAGAGCCACATTTTCAAAACAAAAAAAACGACTGCACGCGGGGCTACAGCGAATGTCACAGTTTGAAAACGACTCGCCCTCAATCCGTGAAACTCTTGCACAGTTTTAAAACGAAGTTGCGCAGCGTTCAGGCGTGAGCCACATTTTGAAAACCACTTGCCCTCAATGTGGGAAGCGCTTGCACTTGTTTAAACGAATGTCACAGTTTGAAAACGACCCGCCCTCAATCCGTGAAACTCTTGCCATTGTTGTTTGAACGAACGTGCGCGGCGCGAACGCGGCACGTTTTGAAAACGACCCGCCCTACATGTTTGAAACCATTGCCAAGTTTAAAATTCAGGGTCATCAGTGGTGAGGAGGTCTCAGGCGAAACGCCTGGGCCGCCCTAAAAAGACTACCCTTGCATCCTTGCCCCTTCGGTATTCGGCATCCTTCGGCATTCTGCTGCGCTCCGCACGAAAAGAAAACGAAAACGAAAAGCACCATTCAGGTTCAGCCCTGCGCGACACGAGAAGCAGAAGCTCCCGACCGCGAGCAACGCCCGAGGGGCAACGGGCCGCGCCCCAGGGGGCAGGCCTGCGCTCTGGCACGAAGGAGGTGGCGGCTTCCTCCTCCTCCTCCTCCTCCTCCTCCTCCTCCTCCTCCTCCTCCTCCTCCTCCTCCTCCTCCTCCTCCGCTCTCCTCCTGCTCGCGGGGCACAGCTGCGGCGACCGCCGCGGAGGTGAGGAAGACGACGACCACGGTGCGACGCATGCGGCGGCGGCGGCGACGACCGCGGCCACGACGGCGCCCTCATGGTGGGGAAGACAACCTCGAGTTACGACTGCGTCGGGATGGATTACTTTCCAGGCGCACACTTCATGTAAGCGGCGCAGTGAGCTCGTGGTCGCAGTCGTGCGCATGGGCTTATTGGTCCTTGATACGCTTTGGAGTGATCGTTGGCATATTTCTCAAAGAACACCTACACTTCCCTTACTTCGTGTTATCGTTCTTCATGCTACTCGATTTCTTCCTCCTCCTTAAGTTTTTCCAGGTTCTAACCTACGATCGGTTGTTCCTGCAGTACACCTAGACGACGCGACAGAGACCAGGCCGCCTGCGGGGCCTGCGATCCGGTTCGATGCGATTCGATTCGCCAGCTGGGGCCGCGATTCCGATCCGATTCGGGTCCGTTTCAAGCAGCGGCGAGGCGTCCTGGCGTGCCCATTAGCTCCACCAGACGGTGCTCTAGGAACCTTTCGTGGTTCCCACGAAATGTTCTTAGAACCTTTCTGCTTGGGCCTGTCTTGTTTTATCACATCGGGCTCATGTTCTAAAAACATTGTTTTTGTTATTAGAACAGTTTTGGGTTCTAAGAACATTTCGTGGTAGGACCATCGGAATGCCTGGGCGGTCGGTCCCTGCTCAACCGGTCGATCTCTCATATAGCATCGGTCGGGGCCAGCTTGATTCACGCGCCGCGACCCGATTTCGACTCGGTTCGGGACGATCCGCTGGCGGTCCGAGCACTTTCCGATCCGACTTCCGATGTCGCGGCCCGATGCAGCTCTGGCCTGCAGAGATGGGGGGCCACGCGTGAACCCTACCCCTACCCCCCGCGATTTCTGAGGGGGAGGGTGGGGTTCACTTCGCTTGGGAGCCCCCGAACGAAGTGACCCCCACCCTCGCCCTCAGAAATCGTGGGGGGTAGGGGTCGGGTTCGCATGTGGCCCCCTAAGAGACTGACGCGGGCCACCCTCGCCCTCAGAACTCGTGGGGGGTAGGGATAGGGCTCGCATGTGGCCCCTCCTCCTCCTCCTCCTCCTCCTCCTCCTCCTCCTCCTCCTCCTCCTCCTTCCCCCCTCCTAAGAGGCTGACGCGGGCCACCGTCCGCGGGGCAGGCCTGCGCTCTGGCACGAAGGGCGTGGCGGCCTCCTTCCGCTTCGCGCGGCGCGGCGCCGGGCTCCTCTGCCTGGCAGGCGCCGGGCCCCGCCGCCGCCTCGCTCCGAGTTGCTTCCTCCGTTCTCTGGGGGGCAAAAGGCCAGGGTTATGCCGGGCCTGTCCCCCATACAGGGGGATTTTCGATGACATATATGTGTATATATATAATGCACCAAAAAGGCCAGAAAACATTCAAACAATCCCCAGACTATTGTTGGATTATTTTTGGTGCATTTCTTTTTTTTCGTCGAAGCTCCCCCGGTAGGGGGACAGGCACGAGTTAAAGCCAGGGTTTCGGGTGACGCAAGCAGTTCAGCTGTCTTTGTTCATCGCACGGAGCCCGCTTGACATCTTCTGGCGACTTGGGCGTTGCACATATTGATGTTTCACGCATGCGGGAAAAAAGAGGTATCGTTCGCGACGGCGTCGGCCTGCCCCGTGCGGTTGGTTGTCGCAGGTCTTGATGAGACTAGCCAACCACACGCCGAAACGCTGGAGACGGACAGGGCCGGAGGTGCCTTCAGAATGGGCATGTTCAGTCCTAGACCAAGGGAAGGTGCGCAATCAACTGTTTCAACCTTCGTGACCGGCTCAGCCAGGAGCGGGGGTGAGGCGGATTTGCATCATGTTTTGCATGTTGCAGTCGTGTGATGATGTTTGGCAAACTAGTGGTTATTAGCCCGAAGTTGTTCCCGAATTCGAGTTCGGCATGGCCCGAGTGCTCAGCGCGCCAGAGCTGGACTCCGTCGGATCTCTCGAGTGGTCGTTGTGTTATTGTGTCCTCGTCGTTGTCGTTTGAAACCGACCTTCTGTGGTGTTCGGCCCAGCGGTCCAACAAAAACAATGGCCGCTTGAATTATCAAACAGGAGGCTTCGCAGATGCGTTCTGACTTTGTTGCCGTGTCCGCGCTCGAGTCTGGTAGCGTGGCCCCGGCGGCTACGGCGCGAGGCTTGGAACCCGCAGGTGGCACGAACGATGCGTCCCACGCGCGCCCAACAACAGGGGTCCGGTGGCTCACGCCCCCGGGCCGTGTTTGGCGCCCGTTCACGGAAAATCTGCACGAACGAGACGGGCAACGAAAGACTGGGTACAATGCTCAACCGCAGTTCTTGTTCATTTTGAACAGGATTCGCTGACCACGCCGCCGCGGCCTGTGTCCGTTCGAGACAAGGAGGCCGCCTGCCCAACAGCGGCCGCTGTTAGTTTGGGACAACATTTGTTGTTGGGCATTGTACCCATTTTTCCGTACCCATTTCGGGCGTCCAGAGAAAACGGGGGCGCCAGGCGGATGGCCACCAACGCAGCAGCTGGGAGGCCGCGATGTCACGAAAGAGGGGGCCGTTGTTTCTTCGGTTCTCTGGGGGGCAAAAATCAGGAGGGAAAAGAACACACAGACACAATTAATCGACGATCCCCAGGAAAATATGGGAAAAGATGGGAAGTGTGGGGGAATAGAAACCCAGAACATATGGGAAAATATGGGGAATCGCTTTATTATTGTGTATTTATTTGTGTGTCCTGGGGCCCCTTACAAAAAGCCAGACTTTCGAGTGACGCAAGCAGCTCAGCTGTCTGCGTTCATCGCACGGAGCCCGATTGACATCTTCTGGCGATTTGTGCGTTGCACACATTGATGTTTCACGCATTCGGAGAAAAAAAAAGTATCGTTCGCGACAGCGTCGGCCTGCCCCCGTGCGGTTGGTTATGGCAGGTGTTGATGAGACTAGCCAACCACACGCACACGCCGAAACGCTGGAGAAGGACAGGGCCGGAGCGCCCTCAGAGTGGGCATGTTCAGTCCTAGACCTAGGGGAGGTCCGCAATCAAGTGTGACTGGCTCAACCGTGAGCGGGGGTGAGGCGGATGCACGTTTCGTTTTGCAGATTGCACTGACGTGGATATGTATATGTTTGGCAAACTAGTCTTCGGGCCCCTCGTTTCGCAGACCCGGAGGTTGGCACCAACACCAGTCATCATCGGCGGTGCGCCTCCACCGAAGGAGGATGATCCCGATCTCGCCGATGGTACTGATATTACCACCCACGCCAAGTTCTAGGAGGAGCAAGCCCCTGTTGTGATGTTGGTGCCCATGTTTAAGCCTTCGACAGTTTCCGACCTGATATTGCCTCGATCTCCATGACGGTCCGATGGGGGTGGCGGGGCCCGCGTGGATCATCCCCAGATATATTTCCCCCAAGTCTTCGGACGCGTTCGTCGTTTCTCGGCGATTTTATTGCGTCGGGATGCGTCATGGCATGTGCGGCTCGCCGAGAGCGTTCTGGGGGTCCCCAGATCCTCCCGAACGTCCGCCAGAGAACCAAGTCATGGCCACAGAGCGGGAATCAGGGTAAGTTTCGATTCGACCCAATTTCGGCATCGATCTCGGCCAGCTCGGTCCTGCACGATTTTTCCCTGAGGGTGTTTCGCTGGAGGTTCCTTGCGGAATTCACAACTCTTTTCACCAGAATCTCCACAAGAGTGGGGGCCGGGGGAACGCGTCTCCCTGGCCTGGCGGCGATCTGGCACAATGGTCCATCAGCGCCGGGGAAAGCATTCGTGGCCGAGGTTCGCCGTGGCGAACAAAACGTGTTGCCCCTTGCTCAGCGGTCCTTCTGATGGCACGATGACTGTCGCGGACAGTCGTTTATGTTGATCAGTGCATCAGCCCCGCTTGATTTCGTGTCCGATCATCGTGCTTGCCGTTACTTCCCCTGCCGACACGTCGGGGTGAAAGACTTACGGAGAAGAGCTCCCGACCTGCCTCGCACACCCTGCACACCGTGGCCGCCCGGCCCAAAGTGTGTCAGCACTCCCCGGGTATCCCGCTCCGTGTCTTCAGCGGATGGCGACTGCACGCCGCGGCCGCCAGGCCCAAGGTGCGCCAGCGCTCCCTGGGGATCCCGCCTCGCGATCGCGGGCGGGGACTGTTCGAAGCAGCATGTGATAATCTCTCGTGTTGTACAGCCGGGGCCCTGAAGAAGGAACCCTTTTCGTTGGGGAGGGGCTCCGCGTTCCTTAAGTGTTTCACAGCTTGCCTCAGGCTTTCTTTCTGTTTTCGACAGGAAATCGAAGGTTAACTTATGGAAAAGAGGGGCCTCGTTCCTTATTTAGGGTTCCTTAGGTCAACGCCCCGACTGTACCTTGCCTCGCGCGGCAGCCAGGCGCGGGCGCCAGCGAGGCCGCCTCCTTCGTGCTCGTGCCGCTCTTTGCCGCCAGGCTCCCCGGGAGCCTGATCCCGGTCGCCCGCAGCGCGCGTCTGCGTTCGGGCGGTTGGCGACGGGGGGGGGCATACACTCGGGCCGGACGAAAGTGGGGATTAGGAAAGGGGGGGGTACGAAATTTGCTGCATGCAGCTGGTTTCGCCCCCACGGAGGGGCCCATTCTTCGATACATAGCCGCCTCCGGCGCCGGGAGGCGCCGGGAAAGTCAGCTACGTGAGCTGATTCTCAAACCCCCCCGTTGCTATCCCCCCCTTTCGCCCGACCCGATACACGTTGGGGCATCGAGAATTGCAGGACTTGGCATCGCTCGGACGTGTGCGTTTTCCTCGGGGAGGGCCATCGGGGAGCCCCTGGGTCGTCTTGCCAGAAAACGCACGGCGTCGAGACATGCATGGGAAATGGACGTCCGAGCGACGGCCAGAGGAAGGTGGCCACAAAGTGACTTTGGATTGCCCCTGAGCTGTCACCTCGGTACCCAAAAGGTGCACGAAAGGCGCACGTTTCCTCACCCTATGCTCATTGCTTCCGTGGACGAAAAAGCCGACCCAGGACGAGTTCTGAGAGATGCCTGCCCCCAGATCAGGGCGACGTGAAGTAACACATTCGCGACGGCCAGATGTTCGTCCCCTCGGGAGGCCGCCTCCCGGCCCGGGGGCCGTCAACAAAACGACCCGTGACGGAACTCCGGGGGAGTGGTCGAAGCTTTGGGGGCCGACGTCCGTCATGTCCAGGGCCCCCCCTCGCAGGCCTAGAGGTCGACACTAACACCCACATCGGCGCTGTTCCTCCACCGTGGGGAGAGGCTCCCGATCTCTGTGATGGTGGTAATACTCTGGCTTCCGAGGTGACCGAACCAGTGGGCGCTCCGTCTGGGTCCGCGTGGCCCCGCAGACGGGGGTGGGGGGGAGGGCTTCTTAGAAGCACCCGTTCTTCTTAGAAGGCGCGGGCCTTGTCTATAGATGCAAGGCGGCGCCTTCTGAGAAGCAGCCTCCTTCTAAGAAGCCCTCCCCCCTACCTCCGCCCTCTTGTGCGCGCCGCCAAGACGACTCTGCCTCCGCTCGGGCGTCGGGATGATGGCCACCCCTCCCTCGGGTGACGCCGACGACAGTGCGGAGGGCTGGAAAGGGGGTATGGGATGAGGGAAGCAGGGGGGGATGAGGCGCGTCGGCGGAGGAGGGCGGAAGTATGAGGCGACGAAGATCTAGAAAGATGCGCTGAAGGCCTCAGAGTCGATCTAGGCTACACAATGCGAGACGCTGCTAGGCTACACAGTGCGATGCAACACAGCAAGAGGCAACGCAAAGTGTTGAAGAAGTTTCCAAGAGGCCCCAAACACTTGCTGCACTTAGGCAGCGCTGGTTGCGGCAAATGCGCCTGCGTGCGAGGAAGTCTCCAAGAGGCCCCACACAGTGCTGCATTTGGGCAGCGCTAAGTGCAGTAAGTGCGTCTGCGGGCCGAGTGGCACCTAGGAGCGCGATGCAACACACTGGATGGAATAACATGTTGACATGCTGGGACCTTAAGCTTGGCACGGAAATTGTGACCACCACACCGTTTCGCTTTGTGCTGATCCGGGACGCGCGGCGCGCGATGGCGATGCACTCTGCTCTACCCCCCTGCTGTTACTGCCCCGCTCGACAGGGCGGACAATCCTGCCCCCTCTCGAGAGCACGAGGTCGGAAAGGAGGAGAAAAACGCAATATTCTATCACGGATGCCACTGCATGTTGCCGAAGCTGCCATCCCAATTAGTGGGATGTTTAGCTTAGTATGTGCTGTGCCTATTGCGGTGGCCGAGGTCAGCGATGCAAGAAGTGGGGAAAAGTCATTCGGAATGTGCGGGAAACGAATGAGATGCGACGCAGAGCCGAACAGACCGCGATTAGACTTTCCCCTTCCTGCGGACTGCCTCGATAAATCTGCGGGAGCGAGTGGCAAAACCAACGGACGTTCGACTAGCCGGCCCCTTCCCATGCACGAGGGAGGCCACCCTGCCCCCCTCGACCACAGATTGGCAGCCGGCACCTTGCAACTAGTTGTCCGGAGGGACGCGGTGTAGGGGCGGCCCCTGGCTGGGGGATGGTGGGGGTCCGCGTGGCAGGACGAGGGGGAGGACTGCGATGGCTCTGCCACGCCCCGGCACAGGTTGCCAGAGAGAACGAACAGGGGCAGGTCTCGGGGGCGGCAAAGAGGGGGGTGATGACTAGGGGGGGGGGATATCATGGCGGGGGCCATGATATTCCCCAGATGTCATGGCGCCTCCTTCTTATTTCATTACGTCCCTGGCCCCCCCGCTGGGCGCACATGCCGCCGGCCATGATTTGCACCCCCCCCTCTTGGACACCCCCCTCTTTGCCGCCCCCGAAGAGCGAAGCGAGTGAAGCCAAGCCGCGGTGAAGCGAAGCGCGGGGTTCACAGCTGAAGGCCGCTCCCGCGACCTCGGGCAGCCTATCCCCGCCAGGGGGGTGCGCGGGAAGAGGAGGTGGCCTGGCTCCCGGGCGCTTCCAACTCTTGCCCGGGCTGAAGCAGCGCGCTGACTGGGAGGAGATCGCCCATGATAACATTGCATGATGAGCCTGTTTTCCACCACCACCACCATAAGTTGGAGGGGGGAAGGAGGCGGAGGAGGAGGAGGAGGAGGAGGAGGAGGAGGAGGAGGAGGAGGACCCCCCCTCTAACTTATGGTGGTGGTAGTGGGAAACACGCCCACCATTGCATTGTGCTACACTCCCCTGCTACAACTGCCCCGCCCGACAGGGTGGACAACTCCTGCCCCCCCTCGAAGGCCTTTGCGACGCTGCTGGGCTACACAATGCGATGCAGCACAGCAAGAGGCAACGCAAGGTGCTGAAGAAGTTTCCAAGAGGCCCCTAAACACTTGCTGTTCTTAGGCAGCGCTGAGTGCAACAAGTGCGCCTGCGTGCGAGGAAGGCTCCAAGAGGCCCCGCACAGTGCTGCATTTAGGCAGCGCTAAGCGCAGCAAGTGCGTCTGCGTGCCGAGTGACACCTAAGAGCGCGATGCAACACATTGGATGCAACAGCATAATATTGGCATAACTAGGACCTCACGAATGTTACCCGTGCTGCCGAAGCTGTTATCCCACTTAGTGGGATTGTTAGCCTAGTATGCGCTCTGCGGGAGCCCACGCCTGCGAACCTCCTCGTATGCGGGCGCGCAGATGCGGCCTCGACTGAGGACGAGCAGGGCGATGTCCCCACCTGGGGACGAGCAGGAAGAGTGGAGTGGCGGTGCGCACAGCGACCTAGACCAAACAGATGCGGCGCTGTGGATGCCAAGAATCCTGCCGTACTGTAGAGTCGGGCTGGCCGAAACGACGGACCGCGAGCTCGTTGGGCACGCTATGCATCGCCTTAGTCCACAGTCCTAGCAGAATTCACGGGATATTGTCTAACAACGCGCGGCCTGTAGTCCCAGAACTCCAGTTTTGTTTGTTCAGCGGGCTTGTATGCGGTGCAAAACCTTAGCCCACAGCCCTGGCAGCGTTCCAGTGATGCCGGTCCTCGCCTAACCAGGTGCGGCGCTGCGGGTGCCAGAAATCCTGCCATGTATGTCGACTCGGCCTGGCCGAGACAACAGAGCGCGAGATAGTTGAGCATGTTGTGCATAGCCTTAGCCCACAATCCTGGCATAATTCCCAAGATCCTAGATGAGGGGGAGTGAGAAGGCAGTGGGGCGGGACTGCTGTGGGCCGGGCAGAAGAGCAGCCGAGCGAGGAGGAGGGGGGAGGAGGAGGAGGAGGAGGAGGAGGAGGAGGAGGAGGAGGAGGAGGAGGAGGAGGAGGCGGAGGAGGAGGAGGAGGAGGAGGAGGGAAAAGGAGGAGGAACCAGTCCTGCAGTGCCTAATTATGCTTGGCACCCCGTCTCCCGCTGGGTGACCCTGGCTTGGGCTCACGCCAGTCGTGTAGCATTCCTGGCGTTCGCCGTTCGTGCGCGTGCCTGCCGAATTCAGCCTTTCATGCCCCGACCCCCACTTTCTGGCCCTCGTGGTCGGGGTACTCGTCGGGCCCAGGATGGGCCCGTAAACGCCGCCTTGCGCGTCCCCGACCACTTCGAGGGTCTTCGGCACGGGGAGGAAGTGGGAGGAGGAGGGAGGAGGAAACGGAGGAGGAGGGAGGAGGAAAAGGAGGAGGAGGAGGAGGAGGAACAAAAAGGAGGCGAGGGAGGAGGAGGGATGGAGGACGAGCCCCCCCCCCCGAGCCCGGCCGCCAGGTCACGGCGCAGTCGCTGCTCGGCTTCAGCATGCTCTTCAGCGCGCTGCTCCTGCAGCGGCGCTTCGGCGCGCTGCAGGCCGCGGCCCCGCGGGCCTCCGACGCAGGGCCTCCGACGCTCGCTCGGGCCGAGGCCCTGGGGCCCGACTTCGCGTCCCTCCTCCCTCCTCCCTCCTCCTCCTCCCTCCTCCTCCTCCTCCTCCTCCCTCCCCTCTCCTCCTCCCTCTCCTCTCTCCTCCTCCTCCTCCTCCTCCTCCTCCTCCTCCTCCTCCTCCTCCTCCCTCCCCCTTCCCTCCTCCCTCCTCCCTCCTCCCAGAGGGTCGACACGCGGGCCCTCCTCCTGCTCGTCCTCGCCCTCCCCCTCTCCAGGGGCGGGGCGGGGGAGAGCCGGGGCGTGCTCCGAGCGGGCCTCCTCCGCCGGGATCTCTCTCCGCCCCCTCTGCTCCCCCCCTCGCGCCCCTCCCCACTCCTGCGGAGGGCCGAGGCAGCGGCGCCGAGTGGTCGCTCCTCGGACCTCCGCCGCAGGGAGCCGGCGCTCGACGTCGAGGCCCCGGCAGCGCCGACGCCGGGCCCCTCGAGGGGGACATCGCGCCCCGCCGCGGCGGGGCGCCGGCGCGGGGCGGCTCGCGCCGCCCGTGCGCGGCGCACGGCCCGCGAGGCCCTCGCCGAGGCCGCGCCGCGGGGGCCCTCGAGCTCTGCGCCGTGCCCCGGGGGGGGGGGCCGCCCGACGCGCCGCCACGGAGGCGGCGGCCCTGGCGGCCGGCGTCGCGTCCGAGGGCCACGGGCAGCGGACCCAGGACGTCGTGCTTTGCAGAGTTCGGGGTTTGATGGACCTCCTACCCTGACACGTGGATTAAGGAATTGGACGTTTTCGGTTCGCGGGAGGGCGTCGCAGCCGTTACTTTTGCGGGTGCGGGTCCGTCGGTTTCGGTCCCAGGTCGTTTTTTCACTAAGGGGAGGTCTACTAAAGGGAGGTTTGTCCACCAGCTGCGGCAGCACCACGAGATGCGCAGTGAGGAGCACCAGGGGCCCAAACATGGAACCCCCAAGACGAAGTGCCACATCTCGGGCAGGCTTGCCAAAACCAAGCTCCCCTCGGGAGGATGCACGAGCGGTAAGGGTGAGGCTGCGGGCCCAGGACGAGTTCTGAGGGGTGTGCTTGCCCCCGCAGCAGAAAGGTCGCGACGGCCAGAGTCTCGTCTTTCCTGGCTCTTGGAGGCCGCTCCGCCGCCGCAGGATCGCCAACAAGACCACCCAGGATGGAGATCCGACCCCGGGGACATGGTCGAGACCCTGGGTCGGGAGCCTGGAGACGGGGGTCAACGCAAACGGGGGTCAGCCAGGGCACCGGATCCTGCAGGATCCTGCGAAGACCCCTTCTGGCTGACCCGGGTTAGAGAGCCGCTCGTGGCCGCGGGGCGGCCGCGCCTATTGGCTGACCCAGGTTTGCGAAGACCTGCGTTACAGTTTTGTTTTCCTGCATTGCAGATTTTTGGTTTCCTGCTGACCCGGGTCTAGAGAGACCCCCGACTGGGGGCCAGCGTGACGCCAGAGGGTCAACACCGACGGGCCATCCTCCTGCCGTCTCCCACTGGGCAGGGGCGAGGCAGAGCCAGAGGCTTGCCGATCCGATGTTCGTGTCGAGCCGAAGTGACTTGTGGATTCGAAGTCGGGGCCGCCTGCCCCTGTCGGGCCGGACGAAAGGGGGGGTTTGGGAAAGGGGGGGGGGTACGAAATTTGCTGCATGCAGCTGGTTTCGGCCCCACCGAGGGGCCCATTCCTCGATACATAGCCGCCTCCGGCGCCGGGAGGCGCCGGGAAAATCAGCTACGTGAGCGGATTATCCCCCCCCCCCTTGGCTATCCCCCCCTTGCGCCCGACCCGACCCTGGGGGTGAGAGTCAAGGGAGTAAAGGCCACCCAGACCGGACAATTGGCGTTTACTACACGGCCCTGGGCGTCTCCTGAACAGCCCTGCCCCGTTTGATTCCTTCTGGGTGCGTTTATGAAACGGCTTCGCGTGTCGGGGTGGTCATTGTCGGGGTGGATTTCCTGCCCTCTAGAGCGAGGGAGGTGCCGTGGAAGGGCGAGGGTCGGGGGGCGCCGACCGTCCTGACCGCCAGCACCGAGCCCGGCCATGCGCGTCCCGGGCCCAGGAACCGCGCCCACACACTCTTCGGCACCGCGGGCGCACTGGAGAGATCCCCGGGCGGCTGTTTTTTTCGCAGTACTCGGCCTCTGGGGGTCCTCGCCCATAATAAATCGTTCAAATACGACAATCTACCTAACCTACGATAATAAAACTTGAGAATGTCATTGGTTTTAAAGGACTTAACATTCTGGCCAAATTTGGGCCCGGGCCCCAGGGCCCTCAAAAGGCGGCTCGGGATGAGAGACCGGCACCAGGGAAGGGGTCGGCACTTCTGGCGACGGCGCACTGAAGCGTCGCACGTCCAGGTCGAGAGAGCCTTCTCGAGGGACATCTTCGGGGGGGGGCTGCAGAGGTTTTCCGGGGGCTTCGTCAGGGGCAACGTCAGGGGAGTAGTTAGAGGCTCAGAGGGGGCGAAGTTTCGAGGCTGGAGGTTTTCGGACGTGTTCGTCGGTGCTCAGCGGGCTTCCAGCCTCAGGGGGCCTCCAGCGGCTGCGCCTCATCGAGAGTTCTCTGAGGCGGGGGGCCGAAGATCGTCCCGAATGGCTGCCGCAGACCCGAGCTAAGACCCGAAATTTGGACGAGGATCACCAGAGTTGTGGAGGACGATCAATGGAGAGGCAGGATGCTGCCAAATAATTTCCAGATGTCTAAACATTGTTTCCAACATGTTCTAAATACTAAAAGGCATGTTTGAAACGTGTTTAGAACATGTTTTCCGACATGTTCAACACATTTTGAATTCAATGATAGGACTGTTAGGGTGTCCTTTGTCGTGGCATCCACAACACCAGAGGGGACTGGCTCAGGCGGGGGACGCATCGTCTCCCAATCGCCCATTGATCGCCGAAGGGGGCCCATAGCCCACCCCGCCAAGGCACTTGCGGATTCGCTGTCACGGGCTCGTCGTCGGTCTGTCGGCGATGCGTTGTCGGTTCGAGGCGGCGGGGCTCGCACGCGTGGAATTCGCACGCACGGAACTCGCACCCACTGAACTCGCACGCGCGAAATTCGCACGACGTGGAACTCGCACGAGGCGGAACTCGAACGGACTAAACCACACTGAGCGGGACTCGCACAGACGGAGCTCGCACGAAGCGGAACTCGTCCCGACGCAGCTCGCACGAGAGAAGTTCGCACGAACGGAACTCGCAAGCATGAACTTGCTCTCGGTCTGAAGCTTCTCTGTCTGTGAGTTCCCCTGGCGCGAGATCCGTCCGTGCGAGTCCCGTCCGTGCAAGTCACAGCCGTGCGAATTTCGTCTACGCGGGCTCATATTCTTTCTCGAATATTCTTATAATGGACCCCCCCCCGTTACATTGATTCGGCCCTGTGATCCTTATGAGCCCCATAAGCCCTGTGAGCCCTATGAGCCATAGCAACCCTATGAGCCCTAGGAGCCTTAGGAGCCCTAGGAGCCCTATGAGGCCTATGAGCCCTACCAGGCCTATGAGCCCGACGAGCCCTATGAGCCCTCTGAGTCCTCAGAGCCTTATGAGCCCCATGAGTCCCCTTGGCCCTCTGAGCCCTATGAGCCCGGTGAGGCATATGAGATTTATGAGCTTTCTTAGCCCTCTGAGCCCTGTGGCCCTATAAGCCCTATGAGCCCTAGCAGCCCTATGAGCCCTGTGAGCCCTAGGAGCCCTAGGAGCCCTATGAGGCCTACCAGCCCTATGAGCCCGACGAGCCCTACGAGCCCTCTGAGCCTTCTGACCCTATGAGCCAAGTGAGTCCTGTGAGCCTCCTGGCCCCTCTGAGCCCTATGAGCCCTCTGAGCCCCATGAGAATGGTGAGCCCGGTGAGATCTATGAGCTTCATGAGCCTTCTGAGCCCTCTAACCCTTATGAGCCTGGTGAGCCAAGTGAGTCCTATGGGCCCTATGACCCCTATAAGCCCTTCTGAGCCCTATGAGCCCACTGAGCCCTATGGGCTGTTAAGGCCCAGTCAAGCGACCACCCCCCACCCTGTAAGTTTCGTTCAGTGCGTCGCCCGAGCGTCGCCCGTGCGCCGGCCCTGGTTTGCGTCTCTGTCCCGAACCCCGGCCTCCCAGAGTGCGTGGGCGACATATGGCGCGACTTCGGAATTTCTCTGGCGATATATAGGTTTCCGACGCCGGTGCACCAGCAGCCATTTTGGCGGTTGTGGCGCACTCTCAGCCCTATGAGCCCAGTAATCCTTACGAGCCTTATGAGCCCTATGGGCCCTATGAGCTTTACGAACCCTAAAGTCCTAATTCTGAGCTCTGTGAGCCCTATGAACCCTCCGAGTTCTATGAGCCCTATGGGCCTGTGAGCCCTATGAACCTCACGAGCTCTCTAAGCCCTCTGAGCCTTGTGAGCCCTATGAGTCCTATGAGACCCCTGGGCCCTCTGAGCCATGTGAGCCCTCTGAGCCATCTGAGCCCTATGAGCCCTCTGAGCCCGACGAGCCCTATGAACCCTCTGAGCCTTATGACCCTATGAGGCCCATGAGCTATATGAGCCCTATGAGGCCGACGGGCCCCCTGGGCCATCTAAGCCCTACGAGCCCTATGTGCCTGGTGAACCCTATGAACCCTATAAGCCCGATGAGCTCCCTGAGCCCTACGAGGTTATGAGCCCTATATGCCCTCTGAGCCCTATGACTGGCACCCCCATGAGTTCAAAGGCCAGGCGCAGCGAGTCGGTAAAATCTTGTCTATACTTATACATATCATACCATATCATGCCATCTCATATCGTATCATATCATAGCATACCAGATCATATCATATCATTTCATACCATATCATCTCATATCATAACATATCATATTATATAAACATTCGTCGCCCCCCTTTGTAGGGCCATCAGGCTGCGAGGCTTAGGCTTGCTGCTCCCTGCGCCAGTTGCAGTTTCAAGTCTCCAATTTTACAGTCTTGCGGTCTGCTTCCTGCTGAACATTGTTGAAATC